CGTAATATAAAATATTTAAAAATATTAAAATATTCCAATGTGATGATGTTTACAGGATGCATTAAATCTTTGTTCAGATAGTTTTCCATTTCATGATGAAGATATAAACATGACATAAAGTTCGCAGTCTAGAAATACCGATCAATCATTTTTTTTCTTTTTCTTTTTTTTTTTTTTTTTTTTTTTGTCAAAAACTCACCCCAAAATTGCTGGCGGCGAATCTATCACTGGCCGAAACGGCGGAACTCGCGCTTGTATGGGCATAGTACGCGTTTATGTTCGCCAACAGGGTGGACATCACCGCTGGCACACCTGGGCACAGGTACTTCGTGGAGAGGCAGTGAAAATGTCTGTGAAAAAACGATCCATCCATAAACATTGATAGAAAATCTCCTAATCCATGCTCCTTATAAATTACAATTATTTTCTGATGTTGACCAACTTATGCATGCAATTATCCAATATCTTGTGATACCCCAAGGGGAGGCTAGTGACTCAATTTAAATTTTTATATATTTTTTGAAAACTTTATTCTTTTACGCCTAATAAAAATTTAAAAACCATCATAGATACGTCTCCCTCTAGACAATAAAAAAACGCTTCTTCCTCCCTCCGCCTTATTACGTTAATAAAGAATAAAAGTTGCAGTGGAGAGAGGTCCAAAAAAAGATCATCAAGGTCAGCATGGGCAAATAATGAAACGGTTCATTAAAAACGGCGCTCAAAGGGAAAGAGTGGTGTGATGAAAGTGACAGCTAGAGGGACATGCTATCAAATCCCCCATTTGATAGAAAATTCCGAAAGAATTTGAACCAAATAAGCAGGACTCACGTCATTGCTTGGTAAATGCTCTCGATTCCGTATCTCATCGCGAACTCGTCCACGAGCTCTTCTCCCGGTGGATCGAAGTACACCTTCCAGGCGTCGTCCCCCTTCGCCTGGGGCAGCGCCACCACCCCATCGTTCTTCTCGCACAAACTGTGAAACAGATTCTCGTGCAGGCACGTGTATTGCACGTGGTAAGGGGCGACCTTCTCCTCGCCTTTGATCTCCACGCTGATGTGCAGCCTGATCGCGCCGGAAACCGCGCTCTTGTCCGTCCTCTTCTCAAGGTTGTACCAAACGTCCATCTCCCCGCTCAGCGTCCTCACCTCGATGATCGTCTGACCGAGGAAATCGTCGCTCTCTCTCGTCAGTTTCTGCCTTAGCTTCGACTTCAAATCGTTGTCCTCGTCCCACACTCTCACTTTTATCCGGTCGGACGAGTTATGGCATTCGCTGTGAACGAGGGGAGTCGAGGGGTTAGCAGGCTTTGATTTGACAGGGATTGGGATTGTTTTGGATTTTATAGGAAATTGTTCGAATTCCTTCTTCGTTCAAAACGTTGGATATAATATAATATTTATATATTCTGATAAAAAAATTAATACAAATATTCCTCTATAATATTCAATATTAAATCCAGAAACTAACTCAGATTCTCCCTGAATTAAATCAAAAGGTGTACGATTTAATTCAATTAATATTCTTGTTAAAAAATATTAAATATAAAGGATAAACTAATACAACAAATTCAATCAAATACATTGATAATTTATAAACTCTAAAAAAGAAAAATCTTTCAATTAAAATTATTAATATAGTTTATAATTAGATATAAATATAGTTTAGAATTATTTTTTCGTACATTTCATTTATTCGAATATTTTGAACAGGAACAAAAGTGATTTGGAGGGAAAACTCGTAGACAATTTTCCTTTTTGAATAAATATAATACGGATTTTGTAGTATCGATCTATTTTTTAAAATCAATATTACGAATTTAAGCGTACGATTTTCTTTTTTTTTTTTTTTCTACGATAAAAGCGACGTGTAATGGAATTACTCACAAGTAGAACTTCTCGTGCCAAACAGGATTCAATTCCCTCGGCATGGTCCTCGTTCGCTTCTTCACTTTGCCGACCTGGACCGTCACGTACGGATCAGATGTGCCGCTCTTGTCTTTCGCGATCAATCCTTGGGCGCAGATCACTGTGAAAGTTACGCAAAATCGATGATTAGACGATTGTCTCACACCGCTTGCCTACCCCGACACGTGCTCCCATTATTTCGCCTAATTCGATCCCCGAGTTTTTCACTTACCTGGCAGAAATATTGATATATCTTTGTTACTTTTAGATAATTTATTTATTTTTTTTTTTCCATAGCAAGTGTTACCTGTTACTCGTTCCAAGGAAACGAAAGAAATGTATCTTGATTTCTCTAAATATCATTAATATGTTAATTATGCCTTCGTTCGTGTATCTTAAATTCAGGATAATAGAAAATTTTCTTTCAATTTTTCTCTTGATATATTTTTGCTCCTAAATTATTGCTACAAATATCATTCGTTGAATTACAATAGAACTTATATGAGTTACCAGATAGATATAATTTTTCCTTACGTTCAAACCAAAAATAATTGGAATTTTTGTCCAAGACAAGATAAATTCAATCGTACGAAATTTGGCAAATTTTTCCAAGTTACAAAAATCTAAACCAAATTCAAATTTCGAGAGAATACGTATTAATAACGTTGGAAAAATGGCAGATCACCGAAGAGCCATTGAAAGAGCAATAAAATCAAGAGAAGATAAGAAAGAGGATTATGTTCTCAGAAAGGATCTACGCGTTACGATCTACGTTATATCGGTTCAATTCGCCTCAAAGCCTCACGATTAATCGTGGACAGGGGAGATTAGGTTGGATACCACCAGTTTCAAAAGTGATAAAACTTTTAGATGGCAATCTATCTAGAATTTTATTATGAAACTTTGGATACGTCATGTTGGAGGCAATCAGAGAATCATTTCTACCGGATTAAGAAACGTTTCATCACTTGATGGTAAAATTCACAAACGTTTCATTGAATTAGAATTTTTCCAATCGCGATAACTTTCAAGAGATTTACTTGCAACTTGATTGATTGATAAAAAGATTCTCACGTGATTTGATAGATCGTTACGCGCTATTAACTAAATAGAATAGTTTGAAAATTTATCGAAATACAGAGAGATGGAAAATTGGTTAAATATATTCACAATTGGTCCCGTGAGATTAATAAACATTTACATTCATTTGCTTCCTCATTGTGTAATTAACATAAATATACTTCCGTGAGATCCGTGAATTTTTAGATAAAAAAAAAAAAAAAAAAAAAAGAAAAAGGTTAAACCGAGAGGAACATTGGAAAAGCTTTTTCAAGAATTTATCCTGGTACAATTGGCAAATTGTCTTTACAAAATGTCTACTTTCCGCTTTCGCATGAGTTACGCGCGAAATTTTTGTAAATATTCCTCGAATTTAATCTCTTGTTTGTTCTTTATATTTTCTTTTCTTCCGCCCCCTTAGAGCGTAACAGGTAACCGAATTGACATTCTCAAGTTACATTTACCTCACATTTGACTCTTCGTGGCATGAAAGTTAATTAAACGTTAAATGGATAATATCTTTGTGATCTTTTCATATGAATATCGTAATTATACGATTTACCAATTTATATTTAAACACATAGATTTCATCGCGAGTCTCCCAAGTTTTTCTTCGTATTAAATTTACCATTTTGCAAGGGGAAATCTTGAAAAATATACGAAAATTGTTTAAGATCGAAAATAAAAAAAAAAAGAAAAGAAAGGGGAATATTATTTTAGTGTCTTCTTGAAACAATTAGATTAATATTATTAGTGAAGTATTTCGTCGTGAACTCTTGGCAAACATTGTTGAGAATAAATTGCAAATAATCCTTTTTTATCGATTCTCACTAATATTATTAATTATAAAAGAGTTATTGTACAAGGGACAAATATAATTGTGCAATTAATAATCATCGATTTCATATTTTCAAACGATCATACCGATAGGCTCATGCACATCTAACAATGTAACAACCATCGAGAACTCACGATTTCTTGGCAGCGTGCAAAAGCTCGGCGTGAATCGTGTGTAAGGATTTATACATCGAACAAATATATCGACTCGATCCACTCTGAAGTTCCACTAATTAAATAACTTGTATCTTTAGAAAAAAAAAAAAAAAAAAAATTAAATCAACACTTCGAAGCGGATCGCATTCTTAAGACTAAGAAACAGGAGAATATGTATGTGTACATATACATATACATATATATATATATATTATAATTTTAATATAAAAATATATATATTAAGGATATATAAATATATCGTACACATACACAAGGTGATACACACGTAGGGGAAACACACACATATATCATATCACAGGTTTCGACGTGCTGCGATTCGGACAGACAGACAGACACACATGCCCATGCTACTAAACTCGTTGAATTCGCACACCGCTTTATTGCAGCGGGGACGATCGCCGATGCTTGCCCGTCCTCGACGATCTCGTACCGTTTAATCTTCGAGTCGTGGCCACGCTCAATCCACTTCCACGGATGTCGACGGAATCTGTGCGAGTGCTTGTGCGTGTGTGTGTGTTTGTACGTGTACCGATCGAATATTCGTATAAATGTATAAATGTAACAAATAAATAGGTATATGCCTCTCTTTGTAATGGCTCGAGAATAGTGTCTCCCCTGCTGCCTAAGCATTTTTGAAATATCTAAGAATTGAAGTTTTCAATATTTTTCTCTCTTTTGTTAGAATCACCTTCGTTAGAAAGTGTGTAGAAATATCTTTTTTTAAAAGTAATTAAAAAAGTGATTTAAAAATTGTACATACAGTATTGCGATGTCGTTTTTGAAGATTTGTAGATGTTGCAAAGTGAACTGTGTCATCTAATGATGAATATAAATTTGTATAGTAAAGTAGTAAAATCATATGTCTCGTGAGAAACTAAGTAACGCGCGATCGATCGATTATCGATGAGAATTTTAACCGAATTTTATGGATATTCCACGTGATGTGGATCGTTGTAATTTTTCTCGTGACTTGTTCCCATCCATTGGATGGAAAGGATTATTACGAGCGATTGATTGGACGTCGTTCCGATTTCGCAGTAGCGGTATGCTGTACCATTTACGCGACTTTTGAAAGGTTCAATTCCAGGCAACAGAGAATCTTTAACTCAAGAGTAAAAGATTATTTTCTCAATCGAAAATAATCGAAAAACGACTGGCTAAATAGGGAATAAGACGCTGGTCGATTTCTTGAAAATATATACGCGCAACGTTTGTTTACGAACGGTCGTATGTTTTGAATTTTCGTTTCGAAGCAAGCAGCTCAGCCAGAACTTGGAGATTAAATGTTTAACTTCGAATATAAACAAACGGAATCACGCGATGAGTTTCTAATGCGAAGTTTCATTTGTATATAATCGAAGTGAACACGCGTCTTCTATACCAGTGCTTCTATAACCACGTTCGCCAGCACAACGAATAAAACTTTGGCAAATTGGCCGATGAATATTTGTGAATTTGTCGACGAATAAAGGAGGTAAGGAAGTTTCTTAATAATGCATTATATATATATATATATAATAAAACACTGGCTATTGAATTATCCAACGTCATTGCTACGAAATCGTAACTTACGTCATAACGTCCATTTTTTTTTCTTCTTTTTTTTAACGCTCGTGTGATCACGACCTAACCGAGGGTAGCCTAAGGAGAGAACGTCCTTTTCTAAATCAATATTCTACGGGGGAGCGAAAAGTAGTCTATAAATGGCTACTACTGGGCAATCGCATGGAAGGCAGCGTAAAGCTTGTGGTACAAAATGGAATCGCACGAAGGTAAAAATTATAGGTAAAAATTGCGAATTTCGATTTTTTTTTTTTTCTTTCGAAGAAGAAAAGTGGGAAGGAATTCGATCGAGTGTAAAATTTAGATTTAATTTGATTCGATCGAAATCTAATCGTTACTCGTATTATTTTAAAAGCGACATTTTGACATTTTTCATCTTCGGATCAATTCGAGTCAATTTTGTGAAATATATTAGGTGAGATATAAGATTTCGTGATTGATTAAAATTTTGATAAAATTAATCGTCAGATTTAATCGTTTTTAAAAGTTCCACTTCCGTTTGAAAGTTTATGGAATTTTCGAAATTTAATCAGCTTGTACTTCCAATCATTCTTTCTTCTTAAATAACTCGAAATATCTCAATTATTCGAAACTGGATTTAATTAAATGATAAAATCGAGATTAATAAAATGAAAAATTACTCCGCTCGAAAAAAATTTTCAAATTTCTCATCACATTTCACGCGAAAATATACCATTTTTGTAACACGAGATTTATCGCCCCTTTTACACCAACCGAATTTGAAGTCAGATAGTACTCGTGAAAATTGAGGAAAAGAATAATCGATCGACTTGATCCATTAATAATCAAGAGGGATCTTCGAATGTAGATTAGAAGCAAATCGGAATGATATAACGATGCTGTAACTAACTAACCTGGTCAATCAAACTTTCAATTAGTTAGCTGATTAATTGATGGCCAATAAACGGGTTAAGCGGCCTATCGAGATGATGATAAACTCAAACCCGATACCAATGAAATTTTTTTACAACGATGTGTACTTTTTTTATCGATATTATCGAGATATTATCGATTTAAAATTAATTTATACGAATATATTGAGTATCGATATTTTGTATAAATTAACGAAAAAAAAATATGTATATATTATTATACTTGAGAATTTGAAAACATTTCTCTCAATAATCTTACAAAATCTTTCTTCTTCTGGTTTTAAACGTGTGTACAATCTGACTCGAAACATGGTCGATGCTCCTCCATGTTGATTTTCAAATAGAGAGGAAGAATAATATTAATCGAGCTAAAGTTTCATATTCTAAATTCTAGATGGAAGAGGAAGAAAGAAGTACTGATAGTCTCTATTTCACTATTGAAAGTATCGGGGCACTAATTTTGCATGATGTCGGATGAGATTATACAATGAATTACTGATCGTGTTCAGTCTTGGATGAAAATGATTCTCAGTTCGTTCGTCGAATTTTTTTTTTTTATAAATGTTTGTATAAAACGTTGTATATTTTGTTTAATTTTTGAAGAGAGTAGAATTTGAGAAAAAGTAAAAGAGTAGCATCGGATCAGCCGCAGTTTTATCAAAATCCAGTTTTATCTATCAGATATTTATTGAGAAAAAAAGATGTAAATAATTAAATTCTTCATTCGTAAATTTACCACGATACATTTCACATGTAGATCATAAGAGGAAAACTTGATAAAGTGTTTATTAATATTCTATTTGCTTACAGCAAAAAAAAAAAAACTGACAGTTTAAAAATTACAAGAAAAAAAGGTAAGATATAATAATTTGAATGGTGTATCATGGATCATGATAAAAAATATTATTTTTTATCAAATTCTTCTTCGTTATCGATCTTCATTTTTTTTTTTTTACCTAATATCAACTTATTTTTATGATTAGTTTCAACGTATAATATTTTAGATTTTAACAAAAGATAAAATTCTATAAAGTTCGTTGAACAAGCAATATTTCCAATCTAATAACTTACATCTCGTTTCGTGTACTCTATTCTCGTAGATGCATCATTGTATTTACACGAGCAGAAAGTTTAAAGACAAACGGAGTAACTTGCTTGAATAACTTTGCTCCACGTTTAACTCGTTGGGGGCGACCCATCCCCCCCTCGAATATTTGGGAACGAATCAAACATGTTTTTCTTGCAACAAACAACTTGATGGTTTGCAAATGTTATTTCAACACGTGAAACAATTGATTGTTTCAATAATTGAATAACGTTGACCGATGCGATATTCGTTTCGTTAATATCTGCATCTCCTTTCTTTTTCTCTCGCATTCGTTTTTCGCTTTCACTTCACCATTTCTCATTTCTTGAATGTCGTAATGCAGGTCAGCTGCGATTCAGTTTAATTTTAATTTATTATGCCCACTGAGCGAAGAGATTTAATTATTGGGGCGGAAACGGAAATAACACCGACTGTTGCCTTCGATTATTCCCCCCCCCCCCCTCCTTCCCCTCCCCCCCCTCCTCTCACTCAGCTCAGATGCTCCATCATTTTTTTTTTCGTCTCTCTTTGTCGGACGAATCTCGCTCGATGCGATGGGATGCCAAATTTGGTAATCGAAGAATAACGAAGAAGAAACTTTCGTTCGAAACCGTTGTCTAATTTGTGCAGAAACATTTTTCAAAACGTTTAGCTTAGTTCTTCCTGCTGTTCACCTTTATCATAATGCGAGTATAAATAATTGAACGAAACACGTAATTAAACACGATTATTAAGCGATTCTGTCCGATTTCATATTCAGATGAATTTCAATTTACGTTTGAATGTAATCGAATAAAAGGAAAAGGTAAATTCAGTTTAGCTTTCGTTTCGCTTTGATTCTCTTGCTTCTAATTAGAGAAAGCAAAAATTATAAGTGGAATAAGAAAGGTTATGGTCATCGCCATATGTATTATTTACCAATAATTATTTCAATTTAAAATGATGAATTGTCTAAAATTGGTTCTTTTTTTTCTTATCACAAGAAGATGTTGCATGTAGCGAAACTAATTAATATATATGTATATTTCACGTCTCTTTTGTATTGGACGAACGGACAAGTTGCTTTTATCTAAATTAGAGAGTTGCGTTAAAAATAATGATTCGTCGAGGATCTGAAGAACTTTTCCTCTTTGTCGTTTTTCCGTCTCAGAAACTTGACGTACTACTTTTTCCTCATTTTTTCCTCATTTTTTTGTTTTCGCCGTTATTGTTCTTCCAATTTCCTTTTTCTTCCGTATTTCGACCCTCTCCTGCCACGTTTCCTTTTCTCTCGTTTAATGCGTTTTCACATTCACATTATTTCTCTCGCGGCCAAGCATTTCTTTACACGAGAAATTTTTTTTATAAATAAACAAATTTCGAAGGAACAACGTCTCGACAACAAATCCAAGTAAATCTCTCTAAATTCATAATTGCAACCGCAAATAATTTCGCGGATGGATGCTCGAAACATGTCCATTAGAGGAACGTCTATCCAAATACATCCAAATACGCGTATTTGAACGTTTCCTTCTGATTGAATCGCTTCACTTTGGATCAAAAAACGTTTACATCAGAATAAATTAAGAATAAGAAACGTTCTCGTAACAATTGGAAAATCATAATCGGCCGTGAAGTTAGTCCATTCGAGACAATACGATCGTTTCTATAACCACTCGAACATTTGAATCAGTTATCCAATATTAATTTGGCTAGCGTCCAGTTGCGAAAGAATCATGCACCAATTGGTACGACTTGGGATTGGCCAAGGTGGGAATAATTCCAGAGCGATCCAATACATTCCATCGATGTACTGTTTCGAAGCACACGTAAAAAAGTATTTTTTAAACGATTCTATATCGAATGAATAAAGCGATCCAACGAGAGCAGAATCTTACGATTCGTTTTTCCTTTTATCAAAATCGTGATCTGCAAAACGAGCAAACTTTACATTCCTCCACGCAGACCTCCTCTTATATCATCGATTCGGCAAATCGATCAACTAGATAGAAATCTAAACTTCTTCAAACGTTTGATCGAGCGTTTCTTTTCTTTTGGTAATGGAATAATAATAATGGATCTCATCTTTTCCATTTCCATCCATCCTCGTTGCACATTACCCAATTACCCAAATATCCGAGGGGTGGGGGGAAATGTCGGTCGAAACACGGCCATCTTGAAGACGCGCGCAATTCTCGCGGTCGAAAGTTCTCATCATATCGGCGGACCATCCTGCGGAAACGGAGTTTTGGTGGCGCGTGAAGCACACCAGAAAGAAGGAAAAACTGTTGACCCGCTTCGTGACGAGGCAGCAATTACTCTAATGATCGTGGCCGGCTTCGTTTCCCTTTTACCCTTCTTCCTTCTTCCATCTTCTTCATCGTCTTCCGCCGAGAAACGCTTTAATTGCCGTGATCGCTTCGCGGCTAAGATCCGTAAGATGCGTAATCCGTTTCTTCTTTCTGGCGCAGTTTTCAGAATTTTCTTCTTTTTTTCGTGTTGTTTCGCTTTCGGTTTTAATTAATTTGTCGATTGCGAGAGGAACGAATATTTCAAATTTAATTCACGATTTCGTTTCGTATTGAAATGGAGTGGAATGTTCAGCTAGTTTCTTCAAAAAGTGTTAAGGAAAAGTGTAGTTTAATAATAACGTTCGGCTGGTTTTTTTTAAAAAGTGTTAAGGAAAAGTGTAACCTTGTTTCGATATCATCACAAGTTTTGACAAATGTTTTCGATAGAATAGAGAATCGTAATATTAAGATCATCACTTCCTTTTTCTGCCTTGTTCAAACGAGTCGTTAAGTTTGAAAACGTTTAATCGAGAAACTGGTCGGAACGAATTTCTCCCTTTGACGAGCGGTGAGCATAAAATCAATTCAACCGTTCCAAAGATCGATCCGATCTTTGTTCAACTCTGTGTAGAAACCAGCAATTAACGAGGATTTCTCCTCTCCAAAGCGAAGAATTTTACGCTTATTCGACTCGTCCTCGTCTTCCTATCCTTCTCGATTCGTCAATCTTTACTTTTTCCCTTTCTTAATTTCTCCAACGAGGAAGAGGATTTTTCCGGATTGTACTTTTATAAATCGTAACTCTCTTCCTTTCGAACTCTTCTCTTCTCGTCGCAACCGCTCTATTCCCGCATCATCGTTCGATTTTTCCAATTCTTCTTTTTTTTTTTTTTTCTATTCAACTTTTCCTTGATCGAACGAATCGAAAGAGTATAAAATCAGAAAAAGAAGTTGTTTTCTTCCTCTTTCTCACCCGTTTCACTTCTTCGCGGTTGCTTCTTTTATATTTTTAAATCCAACAGCGAAAATCTGTCGAAGTCGTTCATTTTTTCGACGTGGAAACCGCTTATCCTCCTTTCAACTATTTTTGCTTCCAGAATTTCTTTCCGTTTCCCTTAATTTTTATTTTATCGAATTAACAATTTTTTTTTCCGATAATTGTTTTCACGCACAACATTGTCACGTATATCTATATATTTTTATATATTTGAAGTTAAACAATAATTACAGAATATAAAATTAGACTGTTTAAACATTCTTGAACTATTTTTAAAATATCTTAATTCTTTCTCTGTTTGATAATTTCTTTTTACAATATTCCTGGATATAAATATATATATATACATTTAATTTTGAATGAATATTTTTGATCGAGAATGAGATACATCGTGATAAACATGGCAAAAATTTGTATTTAAGTTTTAAACAACTAACAATTCATCTTTCATGCTGATTCTGTCCAAGAAAGTTGTTTAAAAATCAACGCGTTACGTTGGCAAATGCTCGAAGATCCTCATGATTAGAGCCAAGACCGACCATCCTTTCGTTACTCTTCCACAAGATATTTTTTTTCTACAAAAAAAAAGCGCGCTATTTTCCTGAACAAGAACTCGTATTCTCTTAATCCCAACCGAAAAGCGAAATAGAGCGAATAGGAGAAGAAGCAAATTCAAGGATGTTCCAGAATAAAAATATTAATAACGAAAAAATTTAGTGGTAAATGATGAGTATAAAAATACTCAGAGATAAAGAAAGAAAACAGTGGTCGAAATGAGCAATTCAAATAAGAAATTCGATCGGCTGTCCACCATCTTGTTGAATTTCTATACTAGCGCCACTTTGATCTCGTTGAAAGAAGTTGGAACTTATCTCGAAAAAGTAAATCTTCCCGTGCGTCTCGTGTTTGTTCCCCTTCTCGTGTTTTTCCAATTCGTGCTCTCCCTCTCTCCTTTCCTTCCCTTTTTCCCGCCTATTCGATTCCAACGCATTTTCTCCAAGGCGTAGCTCCGATCGAGTTTATCCGCTTCTCCGTTCTCTTCGTTTATCGACGAATCTCCACGATTCAGTGAGAAACAAGAAAGATTCGTTTTCGTTTTATATTTCTTCGCGCTTGTTTCGAGGAAAAATAGATTTGAAATTTTACCTTCTTCTATTTCTTCTTCTTTAATCTTCAAGATTTTTGTTAGGTTTGGAGGTTCTTTTAATGTCATCTATTGTCTCGAATTTATTATTAATACTTAAACTATACACACAGTTATTCATAAGAGACGAAATACTTTTAATTTAATTTTTTTATTTGAAACTTTTTAAGATTATTTTTGACGTTATATTTTACGTTTTGTTTTAATATCGAGTGCTCGAGGTAGACATTTCAACCGATGTTGTATGCAATTTCACGAGTCATGTTTCTTCTCAGATTATCTACTATTTCTTCTTCTATGTAATGAGATTATTCTCCCTCGTAGTACGATTACATTCGTCTCGACAAGAGTTTAATTACATATAGAAACACGAATTTAGAATCTGTGCTACATCGTGTTTCCACCTGCTCAAGATCAATATGAGCCACCAGTTTCTGGCTTGCCTATCAATATTCCAAGATGCACCAATTGCGGAAACACCGACACGATTCCTATATATTACGAATACACGATTATTTAATCGTTCCATCCAATTATTTCTACCTTTAAATTTTCAATTGGAGGAATAATTTACACACGTTCGTCCATAATATGCCTTCTCTTCTCTTCTCTGCAAACAAATCGCGATAATATTATACGAGATATAATAGTTCCACGAGTGAATTTCTCATCGAATATTCCTTTCTCTTCCTTTCTATTGTTCAAATTCCGTTCTCGATCGATCTCTTCTTCGTACGAAAAAAAAAAAAAACACTCCTCCAATTAATCGAGGAAGTAAGAGATTTTGCGTAGGAAAGAAAATAACGGAGAAGGGCGGCGGTCGAGTAGAGGCTGCGCGAGTAGATACACGGATGCACACACAGGTGAATAGGCCGCAAGGATTGCACGTGTGCGCTGCACCCGGCGCTGCACTTCCCTGTACGTTGAACTATCGATCGTTTCGAAGCGGGCCTTGCACCCTCGCCCTCTTCTCTCTCTTCCACTCTGTACCACACCGCGTCACCGCGACTTTTGCACCGTGTGCTCTTTCCACCATTCGCCGCCTCCGATTTTCTATTCCTTTCCTTTTTTTTTTCTTCCCCTCCTCAACGATTCACAATACTGTCAATTCGTTTATTTAATCGATGTTGAAGACGGTGATTCACTTTTCACAAGTCTGTTCCCACCGAAATCATTTGTAACACATTTCGAATTAATTAAGAAAAAAAGGTTTATCTAATTGATTGGATGTGAATTGTTTTTTAAACGGCAAAATTATTGTGTACAAGGATTTTTAGAAATGATCTGGTTGCTTTAATTTAATTTTCAAAACTTAAGTGTATGTGAAGTGTATTTTATTTTTTCTTTTTTTTAGGAATGAAAAATATAATCCGATCACATGTCCAATATTAATTCACCGAAATAGATTAAATTTCATCAAAGCATTAATAATTCTACGATTTCGATCGGAGGAATATTTTATCGTGTTCCGACACAATTTTTTTTTTTTTCTTGCATTTCAACTATTTTCATTTGGTTCAACCATTATTTCCTTTCCATTTCCGCCAAGATGTTATGGTTCCTTTCCGTTATCGGCTATCGTTGTTTCGGCCTTCAACATTTTCCCGGCAATTGAGTTTCTTCATTGCTTCGTTCGAGTTGGAGAAAATGAAATTATTTTCATCGTGCGTGTCGATCGTTTGATACGGCTTTTGTGCACAGAGGCCGATAATCGAAATGCTCGAACGCAGACCCGTGACACCGTTAGCGTTGCTTATTCTCCTCTATTTATTCCTCCCCTTTTGGATAGGAGGGAAAAATAAAACTTTGTTTCGTTCTAGCTTTCCATTTTTTTTTAATTTTCCCTCTTTGCGTTCGACAATTTTGTTATATCATACTTTTTTTGTTACACTTTCGAAAGAGCGTAAAGTAAGTAAAGAATGTTTAAATTTATCGACGAAAAAAAAAATATATATATATATTCGAATTATATCAATAGTCACGTATTTTCGATTTCAATCGTACTCGCGAAGAAATTAATACGCGGAATAATTCATCGTGGAATAAATTTTAATTAATCTTTAACGATATTTTAGAATGGAAATTGATACGTTCATTAATTTCTACGTTTGTTTTAATTAATTATCGTTGAATAATAGTAATAAAATATTTATGTAAAATGTTTTTACGTAAAAAAATAGAATGATCTTTGATTGTATCTCTTAAAAATTATGATACAATTGATATAATAACGATTTCTTATGATTAGAAACTCGACAAAAAAGGAGAAAATTGGTCGGACAGAAAAATTACTACGAACAAATCGCAAAAAATTCATCCTCGAAATTGAAAATCGCAAAACTAGAAACTTCTTCTTCCCTTCCCTCCTTCCTCGTGGACCATTCATGAAACGATAAACTTCTAAATGTCCATTCTTACGTCAGCCAGTCCTATTCTACGAGCGATGCCACGATTTCGCGGGGAAACAGAAGAGAGGGCGAAAACAATCGCCAAGTGTCTAAAGTTGTCGGGCAGAATTACGCGACCAATATCGGCCGATGTCTCATCGATCTGGAAACTTTGCAAATTGCTTCGAGCAGCCATTTAGTTTCCGAGCGGAGTGCACGAGACGAGATGTCGGTGGCAAAACGAGGCGTGATCGATCAGTTTCTGCGGTTGATCCGATTGATCGAGATTCGTGCGCAAAAAAGACGTTCGGATTCCTCCGAATCGTGAAACGTGATTTTTTTGTGCCTTATTTGAAAAAAAAAAAATGGAAAAACCGTTCGTCGATCGCAAGCTCGCGGGAGAATCAGTTCGTCTCTCTCTCTCTCTCTCTCTCTGTTTGGCAGTTCATAGAATAGAATTGTACACCGATTTATTATCCGAAGAATTTTTGTGCTTCGATTCGTATATAAAAATTAATTGAAATTAATTATTATTCTTCGTAGCGTTACATTCGAGTGTTGATGCAAGAATATCGATGTTGATTATTGGATCGTAACTTAAATTGCTCACAACTCGATAAATAAGTTTCCTAGATTCGAACGTGTCCCGCTGATTCAACCTGTATATTTCAAGATATCTTCGAGATTAAAGCTTAACTTTATATAATAACTCTTCTTCGAGAACAAAATGGCAAGAAAAAAAGAAGGACGAATAACGAAATTACGAATGAACGAAAATTGCCAAACCACGTAGAGATCACCTCTCTCTCTCTCTCTTCCCTCGAGCATCCGATCGTCCGAACTCGAATCCAACCCCTGCCCACCCCAAGTGTACCCCGAAAAAAAGCGCGTGTGTGTCACATTTTTCTTTCCTTCTTTTTTTTTCTTTTTTTTTTTTTTACTTACGGCACAGAGCCGTCCCCCTTATGGTGGAGTGTAAAACTCTTAAACTCTCTAAGGTATCAGTATCGTGTCACCTGTGATGGCGATCTTGCAGGACCACTTGCTTGTACCCTCGAGGACGATCTGTTCGGCCTGCTCGAGGCTGTCTATGTGCGTGTCCGGGTCGACTGAAAACGTCGTGCTGAAAAGAAGACAATGTCCTCGTCATCTTCGATCGTCCTTCGACAACCTCTCGCCCCCCTCTTCTCGAGGGAATCGAAAAGGCTACGTTTCTCTCTCCTCTTTTTTTTTTCGAAGCTTCTTCTTCTTCTTCTTCTTCTTCTTCGGCTTTCGATCGAACACTTTTAGTTTATTTTATTTTCAATTCTCGAGCATTATATTGTAACGGGGTGGTGGTGGGTTTGGTGATGTTTGGCAGAGGCTATCGAAGGACGTGGTGTGTCTCGTGAAGACGTGTCGTCGTGAAACGTGTCATCGATCATCGTCGTCCAGCAGCTGCGGCGATTCAGCCCGCGATTATCAGCGACAACAACAATAAGGTGGAAGGATGAAGGAGGAACCGAGAAGGGATGAAGCTTAACCGGTTCCTCCTCCGGTTTCTCGAGGGGAAAAGGGGGTGGATTAATATCATAGGCTAAACGAACTTGTTATTCTGGCAATCGTCATGAAAGCGTTAAGCGGTTTCCATACTTTCAGATCACAACTTCCGGGGCATTGCACGCTCGCTTTGTGCGAAGGCAGTCGCTCTCTTTCTCTTTTTTTTCTTTTTTTTTTTCTGGCTAAAAACGATCACGTGCTTGCTCGCTGAAGGAATTGCGTAAGCGGGACGACGAGTAGCGCTCGCTGTTGCGGAAATAAAGGCGTTCGAGAGCGGGGCAAGGATGGATGAGGAGGATGAAATATTTCGAGAATGAAGTATGAATGAAATCGAAGCGAATAGAAGCGTCGAGAAGAGAACGATAAGTGTGTTGTTGCTTTTGAGGAAAGAGGTGGATGTGGAAGCGGTGACGGAGAGAGAATATATATTTGCGAACGATGTTACAGAGAGGTGAATTCTTGGTAAATAATTTGCAAAGAATTTGAAAGAGTTTCCCCCGATTTTGTATTTTCAGGACGAGCTTGAATATTTTCGGGAAACAGGCGAAATCGAAATGAATAGGTGGGACGAGTAGCTGAGGTTTGGCTTTCATTTTGATCCTTGGCCAGGATATTACTTTTGGAAAGGGAGGCGACAATGGCTGCGAATGCTTTTCGGATTAATCGGAGCTTGAAGGATCGAGAATAATTAACCTTTGTACTTCTTTGTCGAGAACACTGCTTTAAACGCGCCTAAAACGTTGAAAATTTATATAGAAGCCACTTTTCTTTTCACGAATTATTCGAACGTGGTTCTCTGATTCAAAACATTTCTAATAAAAAAATAATCGAAGATCGAGAGCAATTTCTACAACATGAAGCTTTCTCTGCTCGACGCTATAACACCGAGTTACAAATTTATTATCAAAGTCCATATAAATAATAAACTATTCGCATAAACCTTCGAGTATTCCAATCAGTCACGATACGTCGGTTGCATTATTCAAACAAATACCATTCACAATCCTAGATGCCACCTGTTAATCCTCGATGGAATTAGATCCACTGTTTTCATCAATTCAGAATAAGAAAACTTGTTGCACCGTGTCTGTGGCTCGTCGCCAATTTCGTATCCTCAAATTAGACGAATTGCTTCGTGTGTAAAATTTATGGGAACCATGCGAGATTGTTATATTTCGATGGATTGAATCGAATTAATCCATCTTGAATAAGAATGGGAAAAAAATCGTCAAAGTATATTCTTGAAACGAGTTCGATAATCGTTATATCGGTTTCAGAATATCAGTGTAAGTTTAAAACTTTTTTTACTTTAGAAGAGAAAATTGAACGAAATCAATCATAATGAATCTATATCGTTGATTTAGTGATTGGAATATAATTAATTTTGTTGATTAAAATTACTTGATTCGGTCAAACATTTAATATAATTGATATAATAATACATTTATTAATTGGAATTAATTGGACTTTGAAATTGTTGATTACTTTATTACAACAACATGATATGTATAATAAATACATCAAAAAATGCGAATAAGCCAATATTGTTAAAATATAAATTGTATAATTCGAAATCTTTAATAAAATAACAATTTTTTAAAAACGAGATAAAAATATTTCGAAAAACTATGATAAGATAAAAATTGTATAAATAATTAACGAGTAAAATCATCATTTATTAACAACCATTGTTAATAAACGATCAACGTCCTCGATATCTCGTATCAACGAGTATTACGATATAAATGAAATTAATTCTTTCCTCTTTTATTGCCAATTTTTTCCTACTCTCTCGGTTAACAATGACAACAGCGTTGATTGCTCTGGACGAGATTTGCTTTGTAAATTACGATTTTTATCGGATTTAAGAGTTTCTTTCGTGGACAACGGAAGAAGAACCCTATCTACGTAGATGTCGCTGCATTGTTCGTGGCTCGAGAAACTCTATACATTTCGTTACAATTACAAACTTTGAACAACTTGATAATACGTATTATCTTAATTCTAATAATTTTCCCTTCGCAAAGAAAGAATACTTCAAACAAGAAACAAATCTTTACATTATTTAAACGATGCTGGCTTAATAGAAACTTCGCAAAGTTTCTTATTAAAATTAAAAAAAAAAAAAAAAAAACAAACGAAACAACAAGGAGAACGAATAGAAAACAAAAAAAAAAAAAATTCCATACAC